ATAATTTAATGTAATTTTACTTTCTTAATAGTTAATCGAGTCAAGTCGAGCCAAGCTCGAAAGTCTCGATTACTTTATCAAGCTCTCAAGCTCAAGCTTGACCTTGAATATAAGGATCGAGTCGAGCTCGGGCCGAGTTTCGAGCTTGGTGGTACTCGACTCGACTCGAATACACCAACCCCTTCACACATCTCTTTTTCCCTCCGGATTCCTTGATATTGGCAATCAACCACACATACAACCTTTTTTGGAATGTAACGTCACAATTTTTGAAATAAAATTTTTCATTTTTAAATAAGATAAAATACAATTTTCATAAATCAGATCAATAAAAATCATATGTTCCAAGAGACATTCATCCAAAAACCAGAGTAACATAACAAACGCGGAATCACAAAAATATTGAAGTTGCTGACGAGTGTGTACAGTCAAGCCTTCATCTTGTCACGATCATCTGAAACACCTAAAATATTTAATCCATAACTATAAGGCAAAGCTTGGTGAGTACTCCAAAATAACATATACACCAATAAACATACACGCATGCAAACAAGGCTCTCAATACTAGAACCGATCCACCCAATTAACATTGAGTGTCTAGGCTCACAACAGTCTAGTTGTTCTAGCCATCATTTGTCATCATAAGTTTCTAGACCCACAACACTTAACGTTGATCTTGTCATCAAATCACCCATTGGCCTTCAACATAAAGTTGGTTCACCTACATATTGGGTTTCCGCACACAGCTGGAACGCCTCAGCCCACCATCACATATGTCGACATATACATAAAATAGATAAATATACATCCCGGCATCACATGTAACGATCTACAAGTCTACCTCCCTAATAACATACAATAATCTAAACTCATCCTAGCACGCTAAGACACATACTGTAGTAAATAGTATAGTGAGAAAACTCACATCAAAGATAACCGGATAATCACCATTACACGCGAATAAAGTAGAGGTCTGTCTCACGATTTACCTAGACATTTGATAAAGTTAAACCCCAGTCCAAGACCCGAAACCCTAAAGTTTGACCCAAGGTCAAACTTAGTAAAAAAAGTCTGCAGTTCGACATGTTGGTCAACGAGAACACCACGCCTCCATCTGGGCGCCTCGCACCCACAAAAGGACAAAACAGTCGGGTCATTTGGTCGAAAACAGGCATTGAGCAATTTTACTACAAACACGTCGCACCCTTAGAAAGCGCGTCGCAACAAGGTCAAAATTAGCTATTCAAAAATGACTTAATGCATTAAGCCCAAGCTTCAAATATCGTATTTGGTCTTAATGGATAAAGTTTCAAACTTTATCCATTACCAAGCTTCAAGACGGCTAGATCTAGAACCCCTAATCTAATAAAAGTCCAAGTTTGCATTTTTATACATGCATGTAGCACAAAATAGCATGTATCCACCAAAAGCTCCAACCAATAACTAATATCTAAAGTATTAAATGGTCCTAAGATCATGAAGTTGCCCAAACTCCATAGATCAAGCCAATGAGGGACCAAAACATCATAAATATGGACATAAACACCAAATATTCCTAGATCCTAAGATGTAAAACAATAAAGCAATGAACTTTAAGACTTACAAAGGTCCAAAAGTATAAGGATGACTGAATCTTCACTTGCAACAACACCAATGCCCAACCGTTGGATGATTTCTTACTTTATGCACCAAAAACACACATAAGAGGATGAAAGGAAAGATGATGGGTCACAATTCTCAAAAGAGACGTGGGTTTCACATAAAGGATGAATTAGGGTTACTGGAGGATGAGAATGATCGGTCCTTAGGGTTAAGGGTCCTAAATAACCGTCCAATACCATAAATCTCGGACAAGCTTGTAGGCCTGAATCGCAACGCGATTCATATAGGCGTGCCGTGACTATTAATCCAAACAGGCCCAAATCAATATTTAGCTTCTGGATAGGCAAAGACCCAATAAGTTAAATTCAATTTAAGAATATGTACCAGGAACTTGGATGTTACATGGAACAATCAGAAGAAAAATGGAAACACATTCATATATTGTGGAGAGAAGCAAAATGAGACCATTTTCCTTTGTTTCTTTGTGTGTAGTCATGAAACTAGAAAGGGAGATAATTAAGGGAGTGAGGTTTGATTCAAACTATCAGTGAAACAATAATGATGTCAAGCTAAGAATCTAATTATGTAGTCATTTCACTGTGTTTTGGTAGTTTACATGGAAGGTTTTGATTTTGATGTGTCGATGGTTTAGGCACTAGTATGAGGCGATGAGAAAATACTGCCTACAAAGGGGATCCAGTAGAGAGTGTGATATCGAGGGTTGGGGAATGGGGGAAGCTACGAAGAGAAGAAGGTTCCACCACTTACGTCTTTGATTAGCTTCTAAGTATTGTCAAAATTAAAACCTTTAATTCACGTCTTATGATTGTTTTCTTAGCATTTTCATAATCAATTTGTAGTGCTTTTTGAATCAAACACGAAGTCGAGCTAAGAAGCCAATTATGTAGTCGTCGTATCACTTTGCATTGGTATCTTGAAATAATGGTTTTGATTATGAAAATTTTCGAATTAAGTAGTTTTGCTTATTGAATCTAGGGTTCCTTTCACTGTAGACTTGGCATTTAAACACGGTTTGGCATTGTGGATCAAAGTTTTTACTTTATTGAATCTGCATTGCTTTTGTATGGTAGTTTGAATCAAAGTTTTTTATTTTGAAAATTCTTCAGATGTATATGGACTCTTTTCATTTCAGTCAAGGTCAAATTCAACATATATTTGTATCGATTCCTTTCATTGTGAAACCTATTATATCTCAATGTGATTTTGTTGTTAAATCCCAAAATATGGATTTTTTCCGTGCCAAACGATAAAAGGGAAATAGATTTGGGAAGATGATGATGGCATGAAGATGATGGTGGTCGACTTTCAAGAAGTTGGTGTGGAGATGATGAACTGATAAGCTTTTTTGTGTTTAAAGAAGATAGAACATCACCTTCTTTTTCCCCTCCGATATGCAGGTGTAGTAAAAAAAACAAGAACGAGAGAAGTTTTTGGAATGGCCCATGTCCAACTCAGCTTCCACAAGCCAGATCAGCAAGTAGTAACCGGGTAAGAGTGAAAAAAAACTGTTAAATGGCATATATGTAAAAAAAATTAGAAAACTTTCGGTTTTAGGGTAAAAATGTATTTCAAAAGAAAAAAATAAAAATAAATAATAATAATAATAATAATAAAACTTAAAGCTTTTAATGCACCTAAAAGTAATTTTGGGGGTCGGTTTGGAAATTATAGTACGATGTGTGCAATTTTTGAATATTCTTCTTGTTGTTAGTGGGGTTAGTGGTGGTGATGTATATGAAATTCGTTGTCTGCCAGGTGCCAAGTGCCAATACTCCTTTGTGAAATTTTCTACTACAGCCTACAAAATTACAAAAGTCAACTGTCCTTTCTTAATCAACTTTTTAATTTTGAATAAAACTCAAAGTATTTAGTAACATTTAAAGCTGAAGTTGTCGATCGACTAATAAATAATATACAAAGTATTGTTTTCGTTAACAGATTTTTGAATACATAAATGATTTATCAGGTAAGACATTTTGAAAACTATTTTGTCAAAGCTTGATATAGCTTTTCACAAATCCATGGAAAGTAAAATCTCATTACGTATAATCTTCGCTACAAAGAGTAAGAACCTTAACTAGTTGATCTTACTTCAATTCATAAAAAAATGCAATTCTCACCAAGATTAATAAATTTACAAGAGATTGTATTAGAAAATGTAAATAAGTTTTCTATGTTAAGCCTATTCGTGAATTTAACGAATCCATTTAACAATAGTGTCTTTCTTAATGAATTTAGCGAACCCATTTAACAAGATAAGTGTCTTTTTTTTATATTTTATAAAAATATGGGTTTTGAGAAATATAAGTTTTTGATATAGTCATTTTAGTGAATAAATCATAAAAAAATGAATAATGGATATATAACATTTTATTGGTAAAATGTAAAAATATCAAGAAATTTTAATCTCAATGCTAAAATCTAAAAAATATAAATGTACAATTTTCGATTGCTAGTTTAAGATTTATCTCACGACTCAAATAACAATTCTTATATTATTTATTACTTGTTCAAGATTATCGATATCTTTAAATGTTCCTAAATTTTATTCAACTTAGAACAGTCGATTAGGAAAGAACAGTCGACCTTAGTAGATTTAAAAGTCAAAGGAAACTATTGCCTATTAACACTTGGCACTTTGGCAAACAACTACTTTCATGTAAACAGCAGCAACATTAACCAGTCCCCAGTAACAACAATTTGCACACATTGTATTAAAATTTCCAAATCAACCATGAAATTACAAGTAAATGCTTTTTTTTACACGAATATTATTCGAAGAAGAAAGTTTTACATAAACATAACGGTAAACGAACAATAAGCTGTACCCAACCCCTTTTTAGATGGCAATGATATTTGCTTTACATATGTAAATCATTGTTTGTATTTAACTATTTGAAGACAAACTTTTATACAATTAACATTATTAATGGATCAAAAATATTCTTTCGAAATATATATTAATATTGCTATGATAATTATTTTTTTACCCTTTTATATTATACAAAACTAGGATAACTTTTCCAAGTGGCAAGACTGGACCCATTTTGCGGAAATAATAAACGTTAGACCATGTAAAAGACAGTTGATTTAAGTTAAAGGGCTAAAAATGAACATTTATGCTTACACAGTTAAACACTCCACAAACACACTTTTGCCACTCTTTGAGCTTCTCAATTCTATTTGAAAAGTCAAACATTTTGCATGTGTTGACTTTCTTTCCAAAATTAGTATCTTCTTGAACTCGTATAAAACCAAGTTCTCGCAACTTTTTGCATCATTCAATTCATATCTATATTCGTAACCACTACATCAAAAAAAAATCGATTGTTTCCGATCTCTTTAAGATAATCATCAAATTCCTGATTCATTAATTAATGGCTGATCTTGACAGCGATATCGAAATTCCTGGCTTTTTCATATGTCCAATTTCCCTTGATATCATGAAAGACCCTGTAACGCTCTCCACCGGAATCACATATGATCGTGATAGCATCGAGAAATGGTTGTTCTCTCAGAAGAATGACGTTTGTCCGGTAACCAAACAAGTCGTCGTTGATATTGAGCTCACCCCGAATCACACCCTTCGTCGGTTGATCCAATCTTGGTGCACCATTAACGCGTCTTCCGGCATCGAGAGGTTTCCGACGCCACGCCTTCCAATCTCCAGAACCGAAATCGTAAAGCTCCTCAAGGATTCAAAGTCTCCACGGTTACAAATGAAGAGCTTGAAAAGGTTAAAAACAATTGTTATGGAGAACGAAAAGAACAGGCGGTTGATGGAATCAGCAGGAGCAGCTGATTACCTTGCGTCGATCTTAGTCAACGTGGATAATAACACCATGTCATCGCCACAGGGCGGAGAAGTTAGCGATGACGATGAGTTTGTTTCAACCGAAGCCGACGAAGCTCTAAGCATTCTTTACCACCTTCAACTGTCTCCAACGGGACTTAAATCATTGTACGGGAAGACTGGAGATTTTGTTGAGACGTTGATGCGCGTGATGGAACGCGCCGCTAGTTTGAAGTCACGTGCTTACGCCGTCATGTTATTAAAAGCGTTGTTAGATGTGGCGGAGCCCATGCAAGTGACGTCATTAAACCCTCGGTTCTTCATGGTGCTGGTACAAATCTTGGTGGATGAAATCTCCCGCAAAGCCACGAAGGCGACACTGAAGCTACTCATCAGCGTCTGTCCATGGGGGCGGAACAGGATAAAAACGGCGGAGGCAGAGGCGGTTCCGGTGCTGATAGACATCCTCCTGGATTGCACAGAAAAGAGAGTCTCGGAGATGGTTATTGTGGTTCTAGACCAACTTTGTCAGTGCGCAGAAGGACGATCGGAGCTGTTGAAACATGCAGGTGGATTAGCGGTGGTTTCCAAGAAGATCTTCCGTGTGTCGTCGGTGGCCAGTGAGAGGGCGGTGAGTATCTTGCATTCGGTGGCGAAATTCTCCGGCAACAGAAGTGTTTTACGAGAGATGTTGCAGTTGGGGGTGGTCGGAAAGTTGTGTTTGGTGCTGCAAGTAGATTGTGGAAGGAAGACGAAGGAGAGTGCCAGTGAGATTCTAAAGATGCATTCTAGGGTTTGGAAGAATTCTTTTTGCATACCCTACAATTTAAGTGTTTCATATCCATCTTAAAGCAAGAAAATATGGATAAATATGGTTATGATTTATTGCTTGGGCATGATTGTCAAGATTTCATAACTTCATGATCATAATTGTCTTGTAATTAGTTGTAAAACAATAAGATTTTCGCTCTAAATATTTTAGAAATGGGGAAAAAAGCAAAAGTCCTTAGAGATTTTTTTTTCCGAATAGTTAGAGCTTGAAAATATCTTTCTAAGTTGTCTAATTTTTATTTATAGTATTCTCCTTCTGCAAACATAAACCCGTGATTACACACCTTTAATTTGTTTTTTATACATTATTCGTACTCTTGTATTCATTAAAATTTAAAAGTAAGACATCACTGTACATTAAAAGAGTTTAATAAATTATCACATTATCATTTTATCTTGTAAAACTTTTTATTACTTTTTTCCTATTATGTATTAGAGATGGCGAAAAAACTTGTGTCGTATGGGGCATCTGAAACTTGAATCTGATTTGAAAGGAAAATCCTCGAGCTGACCGAGTACGAGGGTAGGGATGGTAATTAATCCCCGAATAAATAAACCGGGGATGGGGATACCGATCCATCCTTGCACCAGAACCTGAACCACCGAACACCAATATATATTTAATAAATAAAAATAAAAAAATATTTTATTAAATACCTAAAATTCACTACTAGAAAAGAAGTATCATCCACAAAATCATTCCCTCGGTTCAGCGACCACTACCAGAAAGTAAGTGTTTTAATGATACCTAAACTATGACACTCATTTTTGTATGTTATGTTTCAGTTTCATAATAATAATTAAAAAAACACAGAGTATACTTTTGATATATGTGTGTCATCTTAGTTTAAGTGTCGTCTTATAATTCCTAAACCCTCTTCAAGTACGTCTCGTCCTCATAAAATATAGGGAGAACGACTAGGACTTTTGTCCTCCCTCAGTCGACCCATATCCTACATTGCTTCACTTCTCACCGGAAATCGAACGAGTTGTGCTCACAAGGCCACGAAATCGACTAGGACTGTTATTGGAACTAGTGTTTTTATTGAGGTATGTTCCAACTCACAATGGCATTTTACTTTTCTTTAATCTTAATTTGTTATCTCTTCGAGTTGCTAAAAGCTACCTTTCATAACATTATTTAAGTCATAATCAATCATTGGTTAGAGCCATTATATGCTCAGTCCTCTTTAATGGCTTTGTATCTATGGTGACAGGGGAGGGGAAGATACATCATCTATTCATCGTGACATTATGTATTTGGATTTCCTTTTCTTCTTACTAGAATATAACATGAAATAAGGTGTTGTATATATAATGTTATGCATTAAGGATAACACAACTTAAGATCAAATTTCCCATTCTCATTTCAGTTCTTTTACTAATGATATAGGGAATTTGGTCAAAGGCAATGATATGTTTGTTTTTATGGAAGAGTAGTAGTTCTATTCTATCAATTTTATATGTAGTGCTCTATCTGTTTCTTTAGGCATGGAGTGTTACAGGATCTATGTTGTTCATTTATGTGCATACCCATGTATGTGAGTTGTTTTTCCTTCTTGTATTAACCAATAGGATCCATGTTGTAATGTTGTTGTACATAAAACTTCCAATGCTTGTTTTTTTTTTTAATTCTTGCAATTACCTGAAAAGAATCAGAAATTGGGCTTTCTTGTATGGTTAATTTCCAGCTATTGTGGACCAGTTTAAATAAGGTACAATATAAACTCTTATTGTTTTTTATTGTTTTTTCTAAATAAACTTTCTAATTGAAAAAAATGGATATTTTCGCAATGGTAAACTAGAAGAAAAGCTTATTTGGAACGTGCTCAACAGGGGACCCCTAGTTTGCGCCTTTTCACTGTTATAACTAGGTATATTTTGAACTAAAATGTCTTATTATTAATAAGAAAAAAAATTGAAAGTACTAATTATGCTATAATTGGGTAAAAATATTTAACTACGATTTTCTTATATGAAAAACAAATGAAAGTACAATGTTATAATCGGTTGTGAAGGTAAATTTTGGTATTTTAAAATTCCTATAATATATTTTTAGTAAGTGTAAAAATGATGTTTTTGATAATATATATTTTTAGATTGTTTTTATGATTTACAAAATTGTTAGGGATCAAGATATCGTCGATTCAAATCAGTACCTCTGAATTCTTATAAATTTAATTGTTACAGCTGTTATTAATTAATTCTACATGGGTTCTTGATGAAACATTTTGGGAACTTATAGGCTTCATGCGAAACTAATTCAAATAAAATAATTAGCTTTTAATGAGTTAATGGTAAAGGTATGTACATGCATATGTTTTAATTTTATGATTAACAATTTTGTTCGCATAGGTTGTTGCTTTACTATTGAGGTCAAAGCATAAAGAACATGGAGGCAATACCTCTGAGAAATTTGTAGACAAAAGATCAACGGGTGAGTTACACTTCTTTTTTTTTTTTTGGAAAGGGAACTTCCCTAACGAGGGTTTCCGGGCCAGCTTTCGCGCACTGACTAATCCCCCGCTGCAAACATGAAGCTTTGTCTCATGCCCTGGAGTCACTGCAGGCGAACCTCCATGGCCACAAGGGCTTAGTGGTGCCAGGATTTGAACATGGGTCAATAGGTTATCCACCATATCTTCCACATGCCTTACCAAGTCACCACAACCCAAGTGGTTGAGTTACACTTCTTTGTGTTAAATATCTAACCAATTATAGCATTGTACTTTTCGTATTTTAGTAATTAGTACTTTGTACTTTGAAAAAATATATCTAATTATAGTAGTGAAGATTTTTTTTTTTTTTTTTTTTTTTGTATTTGGATGGAATTATTATAATTGGGTATATTTTTCAAAGTATATTGTTGTAATGGTAAGATATGAAGGTCACGATGCTATAATAAACATATAATCTATGTTGATATTTCTTGCATTTACAGTATTTAACTGTAAGTTGTTTAAATAGTTTAGAACTTATAGTTTGTTTATTTATTGTTTGTCTTATATATTCAGAGGAGGAGTTGGCTTATGTAAGAATACTTAATGGAGTTTTCTCTAATGATATTCGAGTGACAGGCCAGTGTTATGATCCTAATAATTTTAGTGCAAGGTCTAGTTATCTCTCTTTATTGTATCTTTGAGTTTTAATTAACTATATGTATTTACTATTTAGTAATAACTTTTGACTAAAAGATGTTTCATATAACATCAACTAGAAAAAGCTTAGTCTTTCTTTATTGTGATTATACAATGTCAAGTTGTAGAAGAAAATCATCATGTTATTAAGTTTTAGATGAATTTTTATGGAAAAGAAGCAGTTTCGTTGGCTAAAACGGGGTCACCAAGGGTTGTTACTTTTTCATCCGGGTCCAATGTTAATTACAGAGGTGGGTTGTTGATTTGAATAAATATGAATGTGAAGAAATTTCTCAATGTACTTACATACTTTACAAATCATAGGAGTATGTATGTAATGTCCCAATTTTCACAATAAAATTTTCAATATTTAAATAAGATAAAATTCATTCTTATAAAACCAAAAATCAATAAAACCATTTGTTCCATAAGTCATAATCTCAAAAATCCAAGTAACAAAAACCAATGCGGAATATCAAACATGAAATTTTTTGATAAGTGTGTACAGTTATGTCTTCTCATTCCCTAAAATATCTCATACAACACAACAATACTATACACAACAACAATGGGTCTTTTTCAACCAAACAGTTCCGCATCAACCCCAAGTATGTATCAACTTAATGGGTCCGTATTAACTATGGGATTGTATCAACCCCCAGTCGATATTGACTCAACAACACATGTAAATATACAAGCAACAAACAAGGCCCTAATATTTTAGCTAAGCATACAACCATATCATGACATCTATGACATAAGTAATATAGTGAGCAAACTCACCTGAAATATAAGTTGAAAGATCAACACACAGTGACTCGTCAAATAGCTATATGAATCTCCTAACCTGTCCACACGTAAATACTCAGTCTATGTCTCAAACCCTCTGTGACAACCGAGAGGTTTCCGTCACTGATCGCCATTTGGAAAAAGTAGAAAAATAGATATAATAGCTTAGTATTGTAATATTTGATTTTCAAGATAATAAGAATCAAGTGTGCTATTACATTTATTTGTTAAAAACGTCCATTAGACTTAAAAATTAGCATCCGAAAAGTTGTAACGTTTTATAAGATGGTTAACGTACTTGGATAGTACTTGTTAACGTGATCTCAAGGATATAAGATTTATAGATATCTGAGTCCAAAAGAAAAAGTTATGGATTTTATATAAATACAAATATTTCGCGTAATTAAAATTAATTACGTCAAAACATTACTTAGAGATTGGTTGAGTTTTGACTAAAAGTGCAAAAAGAAGTTTCGTAGTACTCCTCGATAGATAAACTTTAGGAAAATGTTTGCCGAAAATGGAATCCGTACGATAGAGATATGATTTTTATAAAATCATTTATTTTTAACCCTGTTAGGCACAACAATGAAAGTCAAAACTAGTCAAACAACCTAAAGGAGAGTTGTAGTACCCATTGAGGTCATCACATAAATATAGAGATGGCTTAGATCGGAGTTTGCACGAAGAAGTTATGATTTTTTCAAAAATCTTTCATTCGCGCCAGGTGCGCGTCTCCGCACGCCGTGCACCTGACACCGGATTCGAGTAGATTCGAGAGACGTGGCCGAGTGGGGGAGTGACACGTAGCAGATTTCGGATGGAGCCACGATGGTCACGCGTGGCGCGCATAGATATTTGCTCAGCGCGCACCTCTAAGACTCGACTATAAATAGAGGTATGTGCAGTCCTCACACCCCTCAGACTCTCTCTCTCTCTCTCTCTCTCTCTCTCTCTCTCTCTAAGTCTCGAAGTAGCTACCGTCTGGAGCGATCCCCGGAGTCCCGAGCCCGATTTAACCCTACATCAAAGGTTTTGTGCGACTAGAGTAAGTACACGATCCCTATTTTTCACTATTTTAAATGTTTTACGG